ATTTTTTGATCATACAATGATTTCTCCGAACAATAGAAATACCTCGGCGTACACATGCGAATAGCATATAGCATAGCAGATAGTTAACAAAAACAGATTTGGACTCAGCATTCAATGCTCTACAAAAATGGTATAAAAATCATGTGGAAAGACTACTTCGACTAAATACATTTCCCTTGTGAGCAATAAAGGTAAAGCAGGCATGGACTAGTGAACAACATTCCCTTTCAGTTCGGTCCATGCTACTGGAGAAAGTGAATTATTATGGTTGTAACATTTTGAACATGACGCAGTTCACCTGTTTCCAAAAAGGACTCATCGGAGCATGTGGTCCGGGACTTCTCGAAATTCCTCGTCGAGGCGATCGTGGAGGAGATGGATTTTCCTCCAGTAGACCATCTTGTCTACTTTTCTTGCTGAATACTCGGGCTGTCCCTGTGAGGCGTCTTTTCGCATCTTAACGGTAGATGACTTTACCAATTCGTTAGTAAATCTAGAAAAGCACCTACTCTTATCTTGAGTGGAGACGTGATCGTCTGGTGCGGGTTGTGGAGACGGCTGTGCATCTGGTGATATTGCTGGTGGTGGGGGTGGTGGAAGCGGAATCATAATGATGTCTGAAAAGTCGCATGGATAAGTATCTCCAACGCATTCAGTATGAGTGAAAGCCCCGGTGTTCAGAATTGCCAGCACCATCCCTCAAAAGGATGGGATTTCATCACTACTAGGTTAAAGGAGGTGGTGGTTAAATTTCCACGTCATAGCATTGCTTTTCTCTCAACCAGAAACCTCTGTGCTCGAATTTGAGGCATGACTCCACCTCTACATAATAGCCGACGATACATTTTTCTTTTAATATGGTGTGATTGCGGTGCCGAGATTTGGCGATCAAGTTTGCGCGTGGACAAAAGTCATCAATGATGCCAGCAAGTGTCAGTCGCCGATGGTGCAACGCGTGTGAGTGGAATAGTCCTCATAGCCCACGCGCAAATGTTGTCGCCCAATTCAGCACCGCAAGCACACCATGGAAAGATCTATTAGAGTGGACTTCGGAAGAAGGAACATATCATTTCCATGATCGTGACGACGGATTTGACTGCTGTCTCTGCGTCCACAAAAGCATAAAACACTCATACAGAAAGACATCATTTCAAAGCTCACCCTTATTTCGCTAAAACTTCGTCTAAGGAGGTTATTTGGTACACTGAACAAGAATATGATGTTTGTTTCGCGCGGTAGCGCCTTCCGGTGGAGTTACGTTGGGATTACGGTAAGGTTCAAAATGGCGGATTTGCCCGAAACTTCGTTTAAGTGAGTTATTTAGCATGCTGATCAGGAATATGATTTTATTTCGTGCGGTAGCGTCATCCGCTAGAGTTACGGTAGGATTACGGTAGGGGCTAAACACGAATTTACCCGAAAGTCTACCGTAACTCCGCCAGATGGCGCTGACGCATGAAACAAACATCATATTCATGT